GGATAATCGTCATTTCGCGCTGGGTGACCTGAATGAGAAATTCCTTCGAAATTTTACTTTTCTTTTCGTCTATGGGCAATCATGTTGGCATTTTGACCCCTCAAATTGAAAAAATATGGAATATGAGACAAATTAAGATGCGTACAGAACAGGAAGGGAGAAAAAAATATGTCCCACATTTTGACTTGAATGTATATGTCTCTATATCTCAAACAAATTACAAATCAAGAATACAGTAAATTCGCTCCAATACTGATTGCCCCTTCAATCAAAATGTAGAAATGAATCCCTCCCTAGCTGCACCTTCATTACGGACACAATCTCTCTCCTTAAATGTGACTGTATACTAAGATTGTTCGAATTCTCCCGAACAATGGCTCATTTCTTTTTTGTCACATTTTTGAAGTAACACTTTTGCATTTATATTTTGTTTTATTTTTGCATTCCTTTTTAGACATTTCCAAACCTTGTCTGTTTGTGTGATAGAAATAGGTTTTACATCGCCGTTATCCTTTCTTTTCATAACAATTCAAACAGAAACAAAATAGGACTTAATTCAGCAAATAAACATTGATCGATCATTATTTCTTATAGAGATCTTTATTTTTGTGTATGCAAAGTCGGGAGCTGCCTCGGAAAATGTTGGTTGAACGTTCTTCGCTCCAGTAAAGCGAATCATATTTTATATTAAAAAAGAGAAACTATAAAATATGAATAAAAACCGTGTTTAAAATATTGTAAACAGCACTAACTTGCTCTTTCCTGTAATTATTTCGTGTTAGCAATGCCCTTTCCAGTCGCAGCCTAGCAATCAATATGATTTTTTTTTATCCAGTGGTGTAAATGTTTGAGCTCATACTCGGGGGTTATGGTCCTACATACAGAAAGCATGAGGGGTTTGGCTTTCAGCAATCAGTTTTAACAGACAGACACGAGCCACTGAATAGACTGAAGTGTGGCCAGAGCTTACTATACCTCTGCACCTGCAACCCTGATCATTCCATTCTGGAAACTTGGCAAAACAGAAGGGAATATTTTTCACAGCTTTTTTTTTATCAAACTTGTTGAAAACAGCTGCACATCTGTGCTCCAAAAGTAAACAAAACCTATCTTGGTTACCAAATGAGAAATTGTTTCAAACGAAGCTAAACGATTCCCACTCAGACTTGTGGAAATAAATGCTTCTATCATTGTGTCGTTGTACTTTCGAAAATGTTTTTTAGCTTTACAAACATTGCTCCAATGGTTTTTCCCATCATCCGTCAAATACAGAAAATAGTCAGTCCTCCGGGTCAAAAGGTTTACCCCTTCACCCGTGATACATTCGTATTCACATTGCGTGGTACGCATGACTGAGGAAAAAGCTCAATACGTGTAGCTGAAATCGTGTTAACACAAAATCCCCCACAAGAAGCTAGACGTGCGTCAATATATTACAATCGTTAAGTTTTGTTTGTGACATCCAGCACTGGGTACTGTCTGTTGTTTGTATAGCTGTGAAGGTTTACCTGCCATGGAAATGCAGTGCTGGAGGAGGTACCGTCGCATGTCGGGTTTACTCAAATCATTGAGAGCGTCTTATTATTCAACCTTTGCTCCCAACCACTGCATGATATATAAACATGTTTGCCTGTGAGTCCATAAAGGCGAACTTCCACAAATCGAAGACATAAGTAAATAATTATAACCGGTTCCTTGCAGTGGTAATTTTACGCAGGTTGGCGCCGAGCAATGATGACATGCTGTCAGTGCTTTGGCAATTAATTCATCTTTTCAGATGACTGACTAGCTTGTTTACACAAAGTCACTACGCCCATCTTAAGTAACTTAGCAGGAATTATAAGATCGATGGTATGAATCAACATTTTGTTAAAACATAAAAACAGAGGTTCGGGTAGCCATCGGGTAAATGCTCAACTTTCCCTAAAAATCCATGCCCATTTTGGTGTGGTCTGTTTACAGAACTATGTTTAAAACACACTCACAGAAACAAACTCAAGTAGATGGGGCCATAGTTCAACATTAACATTGGATTCACGCAATTTTAATAAGTAACGCCTATTAAATGAAAGCTTAATTTCTACGACTTGTGGTTTTTGGAGCGGGGGGGACGCTCCAGAAATTATGAAAAGATTGCAATCCATGGGGTAAAAGTAGTTCCGACACACCGCCAACTGAATGTGTGCATTGATGCCTACACCAGATGCGAAGTAGAGCATTTCGTTCAATTTCCCAGAAAATTAAGCATTCATTTTTGCCATCGTATCGCCTCACTTTTACCCCAATATGTGGCATTCATTGGCTATCTAATATTCAAAAAGGACACAATTTGGTGCAAACTGCTAATCGTTAGTTGATCGGCGGCGTAGGAATTTCTTTCCGCTTATTTTCCGGGCGTCGACCAAAAATCTGGAGCCTCGTTGTCAGACGCGGAAATGCACAGATAAAATTCGCTACAGTGTGTGCGTAGCTGTTTAGTTTGAAGGTGGTGTCTGTAACCCTAGAAGGGAAACTTGATCCGGATCTTTGCTCTAATTAGCACACACCAGCAGTGACTTCTTTGACTACTCACATCATTTTTATTGGCTGTGAAGCTTGGCATTTCTGGTTGAAACACACTGATAGAAGGTAAGATAACATCCATCTAGTATACCGCCAAAACCTGTACTGTATACTTTGTATTACAGCGGTTGAAACTGAAAGCAACTGAAAGTAAAGTTATCGTTGACACCAATGAGTATAACTGGTCTCCAGTTGAACATAGAAGGCCCAATTAAGCTTATAACTGCAAAAGGTGTTTATGATCGGTGGTGTTTACTCCTTGGCTTGTGTTCGTCGGGGTATAGACTTTCTAGGAAGAAGTATTTTGAAACCAATTGTATTGTAGGCATTATTGAATAATTTATTTGGGGGGGGGTTAAGTCGAGTTGAAAGCGGCGATTTTAGTTACCAGTGTCACTCAATGATGGTAGAAAAATCACGTTGATATTGAAAGTTCCAACAGGATTAAATTGAAATGTGTTAATTAAGACGGCGTCAACATTATCGAAACAGGGAAAGCGTTGTTGTTTGAAGCAATTGTCGCTATTAAACACCACAGAGTCAATTTATATCCTCTCAATATAAATAAACTCGCGCAGTCTCTTAAGTCACTTTCCCAATGATACGCTGAATTAACAATTCCATTCGTATGTCACTACTTCACAAAACGTAAAAAGGCTCTGCACTGGCTCAACACATGTAATCCCATGTCTGGGTTAATTTCTCCACATAGCACAACCAGGTATGAAGTAACATATATTTTCCCCTGAGTACATAGTAAAAACCGCCCACGATTCCATTGTTCACACTTCACATACCTGGATGGTTTGACAACCATATTTGGTAATGAACGAACCCATCAGGGGTTCGGTATCGGTTCTACCTGAGTGCACACACATTATCTAATCCAAGTACATTGTACCCTGGGTATTGCTCTCTCACGTTCTCGCCCTTTTATCCCCGAGAAGAAGAAAAATTTCCAAAAGCGAGGTCGTGAACTTGCTAAAGATCTTGTGTGTGTGCGAGTGTGTAGGATTACAAGAGGGAAATTCCGACTCTTGTGTCGTTTTAACATGCAAATGAGTTCCTCAATAATCAGCCTTAGGAGATTTTCTTTATCGTACGAACTCCGAACTACACCAAAAGCGGGCACAGGTTTCATTACAACACCTGTATGTGGGTACATACAGGCAAACTACCATAAACCGAAGATTCTGTATTGATTGCCGTCCATTGACTAAAAGTAGTTCCGACATACCGCCATTGTGAGCATTGATGCCTACACTGAGATGCAAAGTAGAACATTTCATGCAAACTTCAGAACATTAAGCATTCATTTTTGCCATCGTACCGCCTCACTTTTTCCCTCAAATAATTGGAATTCATTGGTTAATATAATATTCGAAAAGGACACAATTTGGTGCAAACTGCTAATCGTTAGTTGATCAGCCGCGTAGGAATTTCTTTCCGCTTATTTTCTGGGCGTTGACCAAAACCTGGAGCCTCGTTTTCACACGCGGAAATGCGCAATCAAAATTCGCCACAGTGTATACGAAGCTGTTTAGTTTGAAGGTGGTGTCTGTAACCCTAGGAGGGAAACTTGATCAGGAATCTTTGCTTTAATTAGCACACACCAGCAGTGACTTCTTTGACTACTCACATCATTGTTATTGGCTGTGAAGCTTTGCATTTCTGGTTGAAACACACTGAAAGAAGGTAAGATAACGATCATCTAGTATACCGCCAAAACGTGCACTGTATACTTTGTATTACAACGGTTGAACCATTGACACTGTCCAACAAACATCCAGCAACTGAAAGTAAAGTTATCGTTGACACCAATGGGTATAACTGGTCTCCAGTTGAACATAGAAGGCCCAATTAAACTTATAACTGCAATAGTTGTTTAAGATCGATGGTGTTTACTCCTTGGCTTCTGTTTGTCGGGGTATAGACTTTCTAGAAAGAAGTATTTTGAAACTCCTATTGTATTGTAAGAACTGTTCACAAATCTTTTTTTTTTTTAGTTGAGTTGAAAGCGGCGATTTGTGTCAACGTCCTGCAAACTGGGCGTGCAGTGCCGTAGTAGAAAATTCTCGTAATTTCAGTTATAAGCAGGGATGACAGGACGAAGTCTCTGAGTAGAACCTAACATGTCATAGCAACAAATCTGACAATAGCTTTATTTTAGTTTCGTCCGTAAATCAGTTGACATGGCAGTGATAAGGAGACAATGCAAGTCCCGCTCATGCAGTCAATATCTATGTTCATCTGTATAATCATTCATAAGCACTTAGTCAGTTTCTCTATATGATTTGTTTCATGATTTATGTTAAAAAAAGCCGCATCCTCTTTGAGTGATCTCTTTTCACCGCTTCCCAGATTGTATCGAGCACTGGCACGGTGTTCCAGAGGTTGCAGGTTCAAACCCCACTCTTATCAATTTCTTTGTTTATCTTTACAATCATTCATAAGCACTGAGTCAGTTTCCCTATGTGAATTGTTTCAATTAGAAGTACCAAGAAAACAACAAAATGCAATAAATAAAGTGTCCAATTAACTCCGACTCTGAGAGCATTCTTGTACAGTTGTACTCTTTATATAAAAGCTGCAGACAATATTCACTCCTGAAGGTCAGAAGGTTCACCTCTTCACCCGTGTTACCATTCATATCCAGATCAGGTCTGGTACACCTGACTCGGCACCAAAGTTCAATGCTATAGCTGAACGTGTTTGACTGGAAGGCAGACATGCATCGTCAGTGATCGGTTGATGAATGTGGCTATAAAGCAAGAACGCATAATCCCTGAACCCCTGACAGAAATAGGAACCTACTGTATTACGGTCTACGTGCCTTGCATTAACTGCAGCATAAACTTCGGCTTTCTCCCTTCAAAGAGAAGTGCTAAGGCAAAAAATGCTAGATTTCCCCTTTCGTCTGAATAAAATCAAGAAAGAAAACAATTTCAAAAACAAAACAGTGAGAAAAATACAGGAAGCGTGTGAATATGATTAAAGACTGTGAACAATCGTATCCCCTGTCTGTTAATTCCTGTTAGGTTTTGCCCTTTGAGTGACATTTACTCTTCCATTCTTCTACAGAAGAGGCAGTAGATATGTGATACATATTTTGTGAAGTTAGCCTGACTATGATGTCAAACTTCTGTTTTGTTTGCTCTCAACTGTGTGGACAAAATTATTTCAGGAAAGAATTTAAATTTCAAAGTTTTTAGCCTCGAAACTGCTTTCATGTTAACTCTATAGTCGGCTAAGAGAAGGAAGAAAAGAGTACTTAACTCATTTCTGTCTTTCTATATCAAAAAGTAAAAGGAAAGTAAAGTTATTCTAGTAATAATTCCCCCAAAACCAATATCAGTAAGCAAATATTTGCTACTGCTAATACATGAAGGATTTATTACTTATACTTTGAAAAAGCACTGTGCTTAAAACTTCATTATACATACTATCACTGAAGTCCTTGTCAATGCGTTCTGCTTCACCAAAATGTTGCTTCCAACTTGGGGCTATTCCATTGGCGTAAACAAAGATACAGGTTGCCAAGGCAGGCCACTTCTTGTAGAGAATGTTTGCTTTACTGGGAAACAGCTCACAGTAATCTTGCTGAATCTGTTTGAAAAATACTTCATTTCATGTAACCTAATTATTTTATACTCATGACTGTGCACTCAAGAACATGCGTACATTTAATGGGTGGCTCAAAATTGAAAAGGAGTAAAATTATTCATTTTCCTGACATTTATCAAACTACATATAAATCGCTGTATTTCAAAGTAACCTATTACTTAAATTAATCTTCCAAAGATGCTTGCACCATCTCCTTTCAAAGAATGTATTGAAGCAGCTCTGGATAGTACTATTTTAGGAATAATGTGTAATGCACAAGCATTATTTTCACACAGAGTGATCTCAACTACTGAATGGATACATTTTCCCATTAATGAATGGGTCATTTTTTTAACCCTGGAGTGGACAAAAAAAGTGATAAGTGGCTTCCACATATCACAAGGCGAGGATCTGTTTGCCAAGTAGTGTAAAATTGCAACAGTTTTTTAACCATACCATGCTTGGATCTAAGATGTGTGAGGAAACATCTGAAGTATCTCATCTAAGTCTGGATTTCTGGAAAAGCCTTTACTGTTCTTGTCCTGGACTGAGGAAGTGTGTAAGGCCTAGTGTAGTGGTAGGCCTAATGGTGGCAATCCGATGCGCATACTTAGCGCACATGGAATTGTCTGGCCGCATACCCGTCAATTTGACAACTTTGAACCAGGCTACATATAATTAAATCTGTACAAAATGTAGAAAGGATTCGAATACATATTTTTTTTCATAACCCACCTTTTAAATTTACCAACAAATGTAGGATTCAAATCCCCAAACCCCCAGTCCTCGAGAATACTTCTAACGGCATCCATGTTCATTTCGCCCGTAGCGCTGGTGTGCGCGTGTAAAAGCAATGCAAGATGAGAGAAAGTGTGAAAGAACTTTCCACGTGCGTCTGCTTACTACCTAGCTTGGTCATTTTTTATTTTTAATTTTTCCCTGTTTAGTTTTTACGCTTCCTGTGTTCAGTTGAATACCTCACGGAGTTCACTCTGGTCATATGCTGAGCATTAATTACCCATCAACTATGAGTTTAAACGTTGTTACGCACTGGTGGGTAGCTATTAATCGTTCTTACTGTGTACAAATTATGACACAAGCGGGAAATAACAAGATAATTCTCGTTTTAATCGAATTTGAGCAAAACTTGCACAGTTTCCTCACCCAACAAATTTACCCAACTTATTTTTAGAGTGTAGAGTCTCCGCTATTAGATGGTTATATTTGATGATGTCTATGGCTTCTCTGATGCGGCGGGGATACCATCGTTCGATGCTGGTGATGAGTTCAGCTTGGCTCCAGTTGATCTGATGGTCTCCAGTGTGGGAGTGCTTGATTATTGACNAACTTTTGAAGCTCTCCCTTCCTGCCATGAGCTTTCTGCTCGTTGATTCCGGTAGGAAGGTCCCTGCCCGTCTCGCCGATGTACACTTCGCCACATTGGCAAGAAATTCTGTACACCCCTGGTCTGCCCTGGGGTCCTGCCGGTCCATGTGCGAGGTGAGGAGGTTGTGCAATTGCAGTGGGGCTGTGTGGAAAACTCAAACACCGTGCTTGTGGAGAATGCACTGAAGTACTGCCTAAGTAGGGGAGGGTAATGGAACTAGCGGCCCTAACTAGTTGCCTCTGGGTGCAGGAGACCCTTCGGCCGGGGGTGGATCTGGGATCTTGGGTCTTGACTTGGCTTGTATCTGTTACGTTGCAGTGCCGCGGTGATGTGGTGGAGTTCTTGGCCGAGGATTTTTTTGGTCGCAGATTTTGTATGCCCAGCGGACAAGGGCTCGGTTGGCAGACGACTTGATCTTGGGGTGGTAGAAGGACGTACTGTGGAGATACCTATCCGTGTGGGTAGGCTTGTGGTAGACAGTGCGTGCTAGGCTGCCGTCCTCCTTTCTGGTCACTTCAACATCAAGAAACGAAATGTTGCCATTACGTTCTTGTTCCATGGTGAATTGGATGCTGCTGTGAAGCCCGTTGAGGTGTTCCAGAAAGAGTTGGAGGTTGTCCTGCCCATGCTGCCAGATGACGAACGTATCGTCCACATATCGGAGCCAAACTTTGGGTCTGTGGTCTGATGTGTTGATGGCAAGCTGCTCAAAGTCCGACGTAAACATGTCCGCCAGAACCGGTAATACATATCGGTTGACGCATGTGGCTATTCAGGCCGAAAACAGATGCTTAATTAAATACCTTGAATATAAATGTGACCTTATGTATGACCTTATGTAGTATGTGACGTCGGAAAAATCACAGTGTGGAAATTTGTCTTCTGAGTTAGCATCTTGGGAAAAATGTTGCAACCTGACTCCACTTTTGGAAACCGAAAAAGTCATATTTTTGTTCTTAACTTGCTCTTCATAGAGTCCACTTGCATGTGAGCAGTGTTTGTGGGGAAAGTTTTTCATGGAGATTTGGGGGTAAAAGTCTTGTCAACTTGGTGAATTTTTAGTGTGTACATCCAATATGTGTCACGCACACGTCAAAAATGCACTAAGTCTAACAGGATTTTAGCCCCAAAACTCCATGAAAGACGTTCCCCATAAACTCCTTACACTGCTCACATGCAAGTGGACTCTATGAAGAGCAAGTTAAGAACCAAAATGTGACTTTTTCGGTTTCTAAAAGTGGATTCAGGTTGCGACATTTTCCCCGTATCTTATAAGTGAAAATACAGTAGAAGTCTTAAAATGATGGCTGAAGGGAAGGGAATGTTATTCAACTGCGAGTGAATCGAAGAACCAAAGCATGGTGTTTTTACATACACCTTAGGGTTAATCTTCGACCAAAAATCATTATTTCCCTCGTTTTTGTTACTGACAGGTCGGCTGGGAAGCAGTGAATGACCATGGCAATATCTGACAACATGACAACAGCTGTAAGCTCAACCATCGCACCTTCCCGTTCAACAGGTTTGGACGCTGGACTGCTGGCGGCGATTGGTACGATCGTGGCGGTCACTGGCCTCATTCTGGCATGTTGTGAGTATAAATCTTTATTACGCTTACATGTAGATAGACTCCAAATATTGATTTGTTCCCTGAAAGAATGAAAAAAGGCTTATTCCTTTGATCACAGTCCAAACAGTGCACCCTTAGAGAGGATGATATGGAGAGTATTATTTATCTACTTTTTCATATGTTTTCTTCCCATATTACATGAAACATAGCTTCAAATTAGCCTTATAAGCAGAATGGCCATGCCAACAGCATAACGAAATCGCCAGATTCTCGCCTCTGTCCCTCATGAACAAGGTTGCGTGAAAAAAAATTTAAATCTGCCTTTGCTAAAGAAACAGACACCTGAACTCACAGAATAATCCACTTGACAAATCAGGGATGGGAGCCGAAGTAACTCGCAAAATTTACTCCTCTTGCTCTGCTTTAAAGTGCGTTATTTTTAATCATTAAAACTACTTTTGTTATCATTTAGTGACATATTGGTGTGGTAATAACGTCATCGGAAGACTGAGACAATGGGTACAAAGTGAGTATATATGTGTCGATTTTGAGATGCCTCCATTGGAGCTTTGAAGATGAACTGATTGCATGATCACGCTTCATACTTTCCGTCCTCTTATAAATTAATATCCATAACAACCTCCCCACACAAAATCAAAAGCCAAACACATTGACAGTCTTAAACAGAACTCAACCTCGCTAGACCTCAGAGAACGAATGCAGACGAAAACACAAGAGAGAAGACAACGAACCAACAAAAGCCCTCTCACTGGATAGATAATTAGGAACCTAAATGGTGAACGTATGAAAAATGGGGCTACTTTGTAAAATTACAATACCTTCCCTGATATTATCCAGATCGACGGCAACGCTCGCACAACCAGCCACAAGACACTGAGGAACGCATTCCACTTTCAGAAACACCCACTCATTCACAAGGTAAATTTAAAGACGACCCAATCGGTGACTCTGTTTTTGATTCAAGAGGTGCTTGCCCCCCAATGTGCACAAAGTTTGCTACACAACAAGGAAAGGGTATTTTATTAGCCAAAAAGGCAATTCACCTCACAAAGTAGCATTTGACTCTGCTCTAGGTTTATGCCTTTGATAATCCTCCAAACAAAAACGTTTACGTACCAAGATTACAGCTCCGGCCCAAAAAACCAAGACAAGCTTCTTATTTCCACCATGCTGGGATGAGTTTTGGTTTCAATACAAGTGCGCCATTGGGACACTGTTTTTCATTGTTATTCAAGGCCTGCAAACTCATCGGACACTTCAGTGAGACAATGCGGAACTGTATATACATATGGGTCATTCTATGAAGGTCGGGCACAGTTTGTGACAGCGTCCCTTGGAACATCGGTAACTTTTAATGTCCTTTTTTCACATTACAACAGATTAAGTTATATTATTCGGCAAAGATGAAGCACACCACTGCAAGAACCTAGCAAGATTTAGCGCAATGTCATTTTAGAATCCACATGCAGGGAAAAAAGATGTTTATATTCACTGATGTAACAAGGGACGCCGTCACAAAATGTGCCCGAACTTCGTGGAATGACCCATATTCAGATATGTGTGGTAATTGTATCTGTTCGGACAGAGAGGAGCCTCTGTCTTATTTCATATCTATTGTATTACTCAATGCTGAAACACCGAGCCAGACAGGAAACCAGACAGGAAGCGCTAAAATACACAAAACGTGTTGTGATGTACCTCAACACGCTGCGGATAAAGTGCGAGAAGTTATTGAAGACAATATACACAACTACAGGTAGCTATGTATGGATGCTTCCATGGGTCGATGATGACCAAAAGCACATTATGGATATCTGTACAAAGTTGCAATTAGAAAAAGATCATGAATGTGATTTGAAGGGAGAAGTAGAATCCTACAGCGATGTTTTCAAACTTAGGCCAAAAGATAAATCGGGCAATGTTTAAAGGAACACCAGGGATAGGTAAAACGACTCTCTGGCAGAATTGCGTATGATTGGGCTAAAGGTGCTGCAGTTCAGTTCAATAGTTCAAACTCGTCTTCGGATGTAATTGTAGACATTCGTAATTAGTACAAAACAGTGTTTATGAAAGGACAAGTTAAAAGGTAGTTGATATCATGTAAAATTAAATCAAAGTAAATTCCCTTTTATGCATATTTACCAAAGGTACTGTTTTTATAATGTGATGTGTCTCCTGTTGGCGCCATTATCATTGCCAGGCTCACAGCGGGTATTATAAGTTGGAAAATGCCCCGTTGTACTTCATTCCGTATTTGTAACTCAAACAGTCAGGAACTCACTCAATTCCAGCTGTGCGCCAAGAAGCCACGTAAAGTAATTAAATGCGCTTTTACTTTATGTCTGGCGCTATGCACTTTTTCACCAAGGGAAGATACTTTGCTTGATAAAAATAATCTCTTGCTTTCCTAGCCGAAATGAAGCTCAATTTTACAACTGAGATATGCATTCGTAAAAAAGCGTATTCAAGAGAAGTTCTCCAGGACTGAACGGTTTCCGAACAAATGTGTAATTGCGTCACCCTCCAGTATACTACCAGTAAGTCAATTAAACTGAGTCGATTCATTTCACTCTACAGGAAACACTGGAGAGCAGAGAGGAAGTGGTCAAAGATGCAACACTGGATCACGTGATGCAGCCCAACACGCTGCAGATAAGTGCGAGAAGGTATTGAAGAAAATATACACAACTACAGGTAGCTATGTACAGATGCTCCCGTGGATCGATGATGACCAAAAGCACATTATGGATATCTATACAAAGTTGCAGTTAGAAAAAGATCGTGAATGTGATCTGAAGGGAGACGTAGGATCGTACAGTGATGTCTTCAAAATCAAGTCAAGAGAAGGTCATCCAATAAATCGGGCAATTTTTAGAGGAACACCGGGGATTGGTAAAACGACTCTCTTTGACAAAATTGCCTACGATTGGGCAACTGGTGCCACAGCTCTTCTGAAAAGGTTCAAGTTTGTTTTTGTGTTGAAAATGCGCTACCTGAACCAGAAATCGGATCTGATTGACGCACTGTTTGATCAGTTATTACATTCAGCGGAAATAAGTAAAGCCGACTTGACTGCATTCATTACAGCCCGGGCAGGCGAAGTGTTATTTCTTTTGGATGGCTTCAATGAATTCATGACGGATGACTTGGTAGAGAAAAACTTCAGTTCGATCCTAAAGACTCTTAATCGAAAGGGGGAATACAAAGATTGCTGTGCATTTGTATCAACCCGCCCCTCCCACTATGACAAACTGGTAAAGAAATGTTTGATACAGAGGCCGTTCGCTCTTGTTAATATGTTGGGGTTCAGTGATAAAGATATAAAAACCTACGCTAAGAAATTTTATTCGGATGATCATTCTAAAGCCAACGGTCTTCTTAAAAGGATTGGATCTTCTCATGTCCTGGTAGATTTGGCCAAAAGTCCAATGCTGCTATTATTAATGTGTGTATTATGGAAAGAAAGTTCTAACCTCCCTGAAACCATGTCATGGCTTTACAACAAAGTAGTAAAATATATATTCAACAGAAAAACGAGCATGTCACCAGCACAAATATCAAACCTTGTTATAGGAATCGGAAGGATTGCTCTTGATGGTCTTCTTTCATTGAATCAAAGACTCTCATTTGAAGAAGCAGATTTCGATAAAGATGTTCTTGATAAGGCTTTAAAAGCTGGTATTCTAACCAGCGAACGAGTCGTAAGAGGTCTAGATGTTTGTAAAAATGTTTACTTTTTCCACAAGACTTTTCAGGAATTCTGTGCTGGTAAATACTATCAAAGTCTGAATGCTGAAGAGACTGAAGAGAAATTGGAGAGATTCTTTCGTAAAGATCGTAACCTTAGAAAGTTTGAGTATCTGTTGCGCTTCTGTTGTGGTGACAATCAAGGGCCCACGACACAATCAATTTTACACATGTTATCGAACGATGTTCGCAGAATTGGCATGTTGGTGTTGGTCCTGGACTGCTTCTTCGAGAGTCAGTGTGACACACTTCCAACCGACCAAGTAATCGAATTTGTTTTATCACGCCCCATCGTATTTATTGGCGTCCGCAGGGATATTTCGGCATCGTTAATATACTTTCTAGACCGCATTACTGACCAGGCAAAGGGTGGAAGGAATACCTACCTGGACAGGGTACATAAACTGGATATATCATGCTGTCACTCAAGGCAATTTGGCGAAAGACTTTCGCATTATGTGAAGAACATGCGATTTTTATCTAAATTTACTGTCAGTCCAAGCACGTTTAACAAAACACAGATAGAAGCATGTCTTGATAACAAAACGGATTTACAAAAGTTAACCATTAGACCCAGCTTGAAACCCGACCTGATGCCCAACCAAGTTGAACTGACTGTGAGTGACATCCTTCATATTGTCAACACACTGAATAATATGCCAAAACTTGTTGAGGTGGATCTGTCTTGGAATGGGACCCTTGGTGGCTCAGATAGTACATGGTCTCAATTGGCGAAAATTAAACAGATCCAGAAAGTAAAGTTGAAGAACTGCAACTTGACTGAAGGAGACATTCCTCATATTGCTGACACACTGAGAAATATGCCAAATCTTGTTGAATTAGATCTGTCTGGAATTAAGATCCTTGCTGGCTCAGGAAGTACATGGTCTCAATTGGCAAAAATCAAACAGATCC